AATTTTAACTTAATTTTGGAATAAATTTTTTATTTGAGTAAAAAATCATTTGTAATCAAATATGTGTATGATTTTTCAAATGTAAAAAACTAATTTAAATCGATTGATAAATCATACGAAACATAATCTAAATTAATTATTTTGCGTTCATGAATTTAGATTCAGTTCTGATTGCTTTATTTAGGCACTAAAGCCTGGAGGCCTTATCTTTTTCTGAAACAGACACAGTCAGTTTTTGAAAAACACATTTTTCATGCTATAAAATAATACTCTTAAAATAAATTATTATTATTATTGTGATAGCTATCGAGCCTTGACCTACCAAATCTAAGAGTAATTGTTACATAATGAACTCTTTTGAGGGCAGTGCCGGTTTGCTTGTGTTTTAAAGTTATAAAAGGGCCTCTGATTCATTGAAGGTGTGGGGACATTGAAAGCTAAATAAGGCGTGCAATGTGTAAAATGATGGGCAACTACTCAAATATTCACCTACCAAAACCTCAATTCAACATTTCAGAGTCATAAAATAGTTAATACGATGCTTTTGTCTCATAATATAATCTTTAAATCTTTTTAAAAAGCATTTTAGTCGGGCTATCATGCATAAAAAATGCCCAGCTATTGAGTTAATTTTAAGTTAGCAAGACGTACTGGATGTGATCTTGCCTATGTCAGAATTTGTTCTTCTGTTCGGTGTAGCACCAAATAAACATGGATAGCTTTATCAATACAGCTGAACTTCGCACTTGAATATATATTTATATTGATATTATAGCATCTTCTACATGCGTCATGGTTTGAAAAGGCAGGTTTACAAAAAGCTATTTATTAATGTTTTTTAAACTAAGATTTTGATAGAATTTTTAGTAAAATCTATACAAATTTATATGATATTGTTATTAATCACACACATTCAGAATTTGTAGGTCCACAGAGCTTTATTTAGGATGAAGAATTTTCTTTTCGTGGTTTTTAGCTAGGGCTAAACTACAAGGTACAGCTTTATGTGTGTGTACGATATTGATCAATTTATAGATTGGAAAGCACCCTCTTATTTCTGAAGGTTGCAAACGTTAATGAATGAATGAAAGATTAGTTGTGGTTGTCAAGAGTGTAATCGAAGCATTACTGGAACTACACGATGTGGTTATGGCCTCTGAGGCCATGATTGATGCCTTCCTTTGAAACGTTCAATTCACAGTATAGACCCAGTACCCAGAGAGGTTTCATGATGTCATTCCTGACGGATTATCGAATATGATGTTTCCTTTTAATTCCATTCACATTTTCTTGTTTTAAATCAACTTTTTTTTGTTTTTTATTTTTTTCAAATTGTTTTAATGTTTTGGCATTAAAAATGATTTAAAAAATAAAAAATTATTATTTTAATGTTTTTTTTTAAAAAACATTTTAATAACAATTATCATCATCCTATCAAATACAACCTCAATACCCAACTCTAAATAGCTCTCTCTTTCATGGCAAAATTGACAAACTCAAATCTGGGAGCAAATAGAACTGCAGGATCCTGGCTGGTGGTTTGTTATACATCATATCTAGGCTAGTTGTGTGTGTACAAGTAAGTTTAAGGTTAAAAATCCCTGATAATTACTTACATTTGTTTTCAAAAAGGATCGGTTGTCCCTTTCAATTCATCCAATTTCGCTGAGAAAAGTCAATATACAGGTTTAAATCATTGGTTAGTATTTATGCATTTTTAAGTTCCAATGAGATTCAACTTCATATTCTTTTAAGCCGCGCGGACATTGGAAAATATGGTCTTAATATGCAAACAAAGATTACCAACCCACCAAGAAACGCTTGATAGCGATCGCTTGGACGATGGATGATGAGAAATTTGACTTGGGGTCCTAAATGGGCGAACTGTATCTATTTTATCTTGTTCGAATAAAAGAGATATTGCGAGAAAAGATCTCTCGCTCGTAGGAATATTTTAGTCCTTGTAATTGATGCTTCCAAGTCTATGCTGCAATAATTTCCATGTACTCCAGATACACTCAATACACTATCAAGTATACTAACATTTACCTACTACAAGAAGAAAATTGTCTAATAGCAACAAAAAAATTTCCATCAATACTTTTGATGATAACGACGACATAATATATATATTAGAAATTTCCAGTGTAATAAGAAAAAATTCTAGGGATACTAGTTGACTATAGAAAAATCATAGGTGAGTTTGAATATGTTAAGTTTATAATTGTTTTCTAAAATTATAATTTTTTTAATTGTTATATTTTTTTTAGTTTGATAAACTTTGAAGTAGATTGTGTGATTACTATAATAACATGTGTACTCACTTTAAGAAAATTAAAAAAAAGATAGTTAGAGTTTCTAAATTAAGAGAGTTTTAGGAGGCCGTTACAAAGTAAATCATTAAATAGAAACAAAATGACTCATAATCTCATTAGTAAGAATAACGGCAAGTCACTTTCTTTTATTAACTGGGCAAAATGCTTGGCAAAAATTTATTTTATTTTTAAATTTTTCTCTTAAAATAGTAGTTATTATTTGTAATAATATTTAACTAATGATTATTTTGTAGGCTACACATAGTGGATGAGATCCAACTTTGATGGAGTTATAAATTTTGAAATGATATATAAATAAAAAAAAGTGTATAATTCATGAAAAGTTAAGCTGAAACATTATTACAAGTAAACTTTCCAACCTTTTGTTTATTGTTTGAAATAATTTTTTTTCTATGCCTTTGACTTTTTTTTTTGTATGAATAATAACAACTAGTGGATCCAATAGAAATCAAATTTATTATGTATCTACTACTACCACTTGAGATATAAGGTTGGGTTATAATGTCTTAACCATAAGCATTCCATGACTCTAACATGAGTCATCCATCACCGGTCATTGAAGAGTTAACTAAACAATATATTTGTTATTTGAGGGCCAAAATAGATGTATAATAAGAAAAATAAAAAAAGAATGGAGATAACATATATGTCCAGCTATTATCCTCTTTATTATAGATCTCCACATGATTTGATAAAACATAACATTTTTTCCAAAAAAATTAAAAAGAAAAACTAAAAAACTATTACAAAATAATGAAGATTAAAAAAATGGTGATAAATAAGTCAATTTTAAAGTGATAAATATGACGATTATAAGGGAAAAAATAAAAAAATAATTAAGAAAATTTTTTTTTCCTAAAAACTATAGATTTGTTACCGTTATAGTAAAAAAAAAAAAAAGAAACAATTTAAGTTATATTTCTAAAGTGAAAGAGGTACTTTCCTTCTATAATAGCACTTATTTTGTGTATAATTTTTAAATTCTGATATAAGTAGATTCTTAAATTTCTTATTAAAAAAAGTTATAAATATATATGATTAGTTATAAATTTTGACTTAAATTAAAAATTTATAAACATAGCGAGCCAATACTTATATCTTAACTCATTTTTATCATAAATTATTTATTAAAAATGATTTTTTAATTATAAGTTCAAATGCTTGGTGCTTTTTCTATTTGTTTTCTCATTTTATTCTCTTAGTTTGTATTTCTTTAACTTCACAACATTAATTCTTTTTTTTCCTACACTCTCACACGTACATGCCCTTTTTTTTTTGGTTATTTTATAGTCTACTTTTACCAAACAATAATGCTTAAAATTAAAGAATAATTATTGCATGTAACATAAAAATAATTTTATCTCGAAGCCAAATTCAATATTTTTGTAAGAGTAATTAATTATAATAAACATTAGGGAAACCTCAAATAAGTCCTTAACCAATATAACCATCCTGATCAATTGAATAGTATATACATTAGGGAAACCTCAGATAAGTCCTTAACCAATATTTTATGAAATGAAATGGCCCTTTTTTCTAATTAATATTTTGATGGAAGAAATAAAAACATGGACAAGAACCTAATTAAGAAATTAATGTGTAAAAACTTGAGGTTTCCTCGTAAACATTCAGATCTGCCCCCGGATCGAAGCGCCCTAGCTAGAGTGTGTTCTGTTTAATATTCAAGTCCTTAACCTAGCTAGAGTGTGTTCTGTTTAATATTCCCCAGCACACAAAAAGTAGAGATTTTCTCATGGTGCTCTTTCTAGTTAATTAGGCTGCTTACTTCTTGAGTTGTGGCAGTCTCATTATGTTTGTCGACAAATCCCTCGAGAGGTCAAACATGCGACTTGTTGGAGGTAGATTCATATTATATTATTATCCACCATTTGTTCAACGCGTGGGGGCATTACTTGTTGGAGGTAGATTCATATTATATAATCCACCATTTGTTCAACGCGTGGGGGCATACAAGAATCCAACGTCACAAATTTTAAACAGTGGGGAAGTAAAAGATGTTACCAACCCACTAAAATGTCAAAATAAAATAATTTAATTAATATAAATGCATGGCACCTCCTTAAACCCCGAAGAACGTCCATGTCCTTCCATCAGACATCCCTATGACCTCCTTAACCAACGTCATATTTAGTAAACTGATTTTTCTACAGTTAATTATCACTTAGTTCTTGTAGTTTATTAGAATTATCTGATTATTGTATGTAGTATCAAAATAATCAAATGGTATTTTAATTGGTTTTAATCATATTTAATTTAGTGGTAATTTATTTAAATGTATTTTTTCATCATTATTTTCATTTTATTTGATTCTCTTTATATCTTATATTTATTAAAATCAAAATAAAAATAAATTAGTTTTGAAACCATGAGGATTAGTTAATTAGTTTTGCTAAACTTCACGGATTACGTTTTTGGTTGTTCCTTTTCAAAAACCCATAAAAAGGAGCTTGGTTGAGTCACAAAATTTGGAATTTTGTGCATAATTTTATTAATATAAATGCATTTTAATAGTACATACTGAAAAAAGCATTTTAAATACTACAATTTTTATAATCATCGTTCCAACATCCACAATTTACAATTACGTACAGGGATACCCAAAACCACAGTTAAAAGCTACCATTTTAGCAGACAAGCCTTTACTAGAGATCAGTAATACCAACTACTTATATATATATATATAAGTTACACCAACTACTTGTGTATTGAAAGAGAAGTCAATAGTTTCACACACTTAATCTCTATAAACTGCTGGTTTAAAAGACCTAAATTAACTTAATTATAGGGTTTCATAACGGACTTTTTTTTCTTTTTTTTTCCTAAACTCATAAAGAAGGCCACAAAGGAAAAATTTCAATTGTCCCTGGAAGGACTTCGGCTGGTTTCAATGGCATGTTGTACTGAAAATTCTCAGGGACTAGTGTCTCGGCTGCATTCTTCAATGAACTTTCCTGGTTTTCATCCTTGGTTACATCTAGACCGAGTTCATTTTCTAAGTAACGCAGCCACTTCTTATTTTGATCCACTTCCCCAATATTATATGCATCTCCAAATTTTGAGATTTGGAATGCTTCAACGTTTTCCAATTGAATTTCATTAGATTGCAAGTAACTTAAGCTATCCAACATGTTCCAAAAATCATAATCTGACTCCAATGGGATTTCGGCCGTGATTTCTTCTGGTTTGTTTACCTCCTCTGATGAATTGTGAACGTCATAAAGTCCTCTAAAGTTCAACAACGAACCTATTTGATCATCTTCAGGCTTGGAAACATCAATTTGACTAGAGTTGGTGATGTTGGAATTGTTAGAAGATATAGAGGAACTTGATAATTCCTTTGGTTTCTTAGTTGGTCTATGCTGATTAGATGCTTCCCTTGGTGATGAATCCTTTACATTCTCTAAGATACGAGTCTTCTTCGTGGAGGACCCTTGATTCTTTTGCATTTCCAAATTTCTTTTTCCACTTGACACGATCGTGCTAGATGTAGACGAGGAAGAGGAGGTTGAGGAGGATTCCTTTGATTCATCTCCTTTAGGACGTTCATCATCATCTTTTAATGTCAATCTTTTCTTTAAGTGGGTATTCCACACATTCTTAATCTCATTGTCTGTTCTTCCTGGAAAATGAGATGCAATCTTTGACCACCTGCAAGTTTATAATTTGTTATTAGGAATTAAAATAACAAATATGTGTGTGTGTGTGTATACACGCACGAGTGTGTTGATATTTCTTTAGTGTTATGCTGAGTAATTTACTTGTTTCCCAAAGTTTGATGTAGCTTTATGATGGTGTCTTCTTCCTCTTTGCTGAAGTTACCACGCTTAACGTCAGGTCTCAGGTAATTAATCCATCTCAATCGACAACTTTTTCCGCATCTCAACAACCCTACAGAACCAAAAGATTAAAAAAAGAAAAAGAAAAACGAAAGGATATATATTGAATGCTTTAGCTTTAAGATTCACAAGGAACTCAATTTCCCTTGTTCAACCAGCTTTTGAGGTTGAAAGTTTTCCTTCCCTCTAGTACTCCCCTCTTTTCTACGTGTTTAGATGTAATAGTGAAAGCAACCAAGTCTAATTAAGCGGCGTGTTAGATGGGGCATTGAGGCAGTACCTTTAGCCATCCAAGTACCTTTGTAACTCATACAATGACTGGAGTATATTTTCCCATTTCCTAGCTGGTATCCTTTAGTCCGAATTGGATTATTTAACTATATCATCCTGTATCTTCGTCAACAAAATGGGAAAATTTGGCAACCTAAGGTCTTAATTATGGCATTTCGATGTGACCATCGATCGTTGCCTGGCCTTGAATCCAAGTTAGGAATATGCAACTTGGCAAGATATGAAGACACAAAGTGTAATGAGATTACCATATACATGATTTATTTGTTTTTTTAGCACTGGTAATGAGTAGTCTGAAACAATATATATATATATATATATATATTGTTTCAGACTACTCATTACCAGTGCTAAAAAAACAAATAAATCTGTCAGTATTTCACCAGAAAAAATGCCACGCTAACGTGCCTTGGAAAACACGGTTCGATCTGAGCAATATTTTCTTCAAGTTCTTTTAAGAGACTTTTCAAAACATAAATATGCAATCTCGAGGTGATTTTCTGCATCTAGTGACATAAATTGAAATGGTATCAAAGTTGGATCTTCCATATCCCCTAATTCATAATTGAAGATGGCAATGACAAATTAATTAAATGGTGGAAGGAGTCATTGTATAGAATAATAATCTATATATTGTACGCTGGAAATTAAATGAAAATGATTGTTACACATGTATAGTAAATGATTTTCCTTATCTCAGTGCTAAAAATTCAAACCCGTTTGATTGTATATTTAAGCGTTTCAAAGATGCTTTCCTGGTATTTTTTGATTACAGCATTAATATAATCATTAGTCAACACACAGCAAAACGGTTTAGGCCACACATTTCATTCGAAGTGCAAGTGGTCATACGTCTACCTAAAAAGAAAAAAAGATGGGAATAAAAACAAAAAAACCAAGAAAGAAAGTAAAAAGTAAAACTAATACTGACAAAAACATTACTTGAACTGTTGGATTGACAGTAATGAGTCTAGCACTCACGTTTTCATCTCCTAAAAAAATCTTACATTCAAACGTCTTCTAAAAAAATAAAAACACACCAGAGAGAGAGAAAAGTTGGATCAAACGTCTTCTAAAACAAAAACAAAAAACACACCAGAGAGAGAGAAAAGTTGGATTGAATTAAGTTAATAAAAAGAAAAATATGTACATCAATTAAGAAATCAAGGGCTAATGAGTGTTATGGAAGATTGGTAATCAAACAAATTTGAATTCTGCAAGGAAGTCTGCATTTAACGAAGTAATCGATGCAAAGAAATGTTGATGTTTTTAACTATCAAGGCAAGGGACAGCCAAAGACTCAAACTTGTGAGTCCTTTCCTCTCCCCCTGGAAATGAATCAAGAAAAGAATGTTGAATGCAAGACAAATCGATTTGTTTGCTAAGTAAACAAGATTAAGGAAATGATCACTGGCATGATCGCATAGCTAACATTAGATATGAGTCTGTAAAAGCAATGAGAATGATATGTAAGAGTGCATGACCGATACCATCCATGATGAAGAAGAGGAGAAGGATCAGAGTGGAGACTGACCAGCTTGTTTAGGAAGAGCCCTCCAGTTTTCGTGTCCATGTTTCTGAATAAAAGTTATAAGCCTCAGGTCCTCTGCAGGACTCCATGGTCCTCTCTTCACTTGAGTCTTGTCACAACATGGCGCTCTCCCTTTACCCATGATATGATCTCTCTCAAATTTGCTAGCAATATCAAGACTACTCAATGTATTGGAGACTCTTTGTCATCGCCATCTCTCATTTATATGTATATTGGAATATCTTAGGACATATATATATAGAGAGAGAGAAGTGGGTTAGAGCCCACAAGGGTAATGGCATGCCATAAGTTGTGTTATTTGTGGCGATAAATAGGAGGAGATCCAAAAGGATTGCTCAATTTCTATAATTCTAACATTTTTTTTACTGTTCGTTATCCTGTATTAATGCAGACTATCCCACTCCAATAAAGCTCACTATTCTGTACTTGTCCGTTTTCAGAATAGATTTACTCCCAGTGACCACATAATTCAATGAGGGATGCATTATGGTTGTCCATATGGGTGGCATAATGCTAGCCATATATCTGGCCAAAATGACATCACTTTTTCATATTATTTTTATCAACATCTTATTAACAAAAAAAATTAAAAAAAAAGGGTTTTAATATTCTTTTCCTCACACAGTATTATTTATTAGAATATTGTTATATTTTTTTTGTTGCAATATATGTTTTTTTTTTATCAATTTTAATTTCATACATCAATATAAAATTTATTAAAAATTAAACTTTATAACTTTTTTAATTTAATTTTTTATGAAGTTATCTCAGTTTTATGACTTAGACCATAAATTTGATAGATTAATTTGGTTGATTCATGTTTTTCTTTTTTTTTTTCTAATTGTTTTATCTCTCTCAATTTTATCTTTTAATATTAGATTGATTATGAATTAAACTTCATGATTTATGATTTGCTTTCTATAAGATTATTCTCACCTTATAACTTTAGTCACAAATTCGACAGATTGATCCGGG